TGTAGATTAAAATAAATGGGTTAATTTAAATTATAGGAGTGAGTGGGAGCTGGGCAATAGTGGCACATGCCTTTGATCTCAGGACTTGGGAGGCAGAGGCAGGCAGATCTCTGTGAGTTTGAGGCCAGCGTGGTCTACAGAATGAGTTCCAGGACAGCCAGGACTACACAGAGAAACCCTGTCTGGGGTGGAGGGAGTTAGTGGGACAAGCCTAAGCTAAGGCTGAACTTTCATAATTAACAGTAAGTCTCCGTGTCATTATTTGTGAGCTGGCAGCCCAAAGAAAAATCCAACTACACCACAGGACTAGTTCTGTTGATCCTCTCCTGGGATGCAGGGAGAGCTCCACCTAAGGTTTCTGAGCCCTCACCCAGCCTAAGCAGTCATGGAGATGGGACGGGGGCCATAACCTCTAAGAAAAGGCTAACAGGAAGGTATGAATGGTGACATGACTTTTCAGAGCCTGTCAACCAGGCTCCATCATCCAGGTGATTATGCTATACTACATCAAAGGGTTCCTCCTACACTCTGCAAGTGTAGTTAGTGTTCTGGACAGGCATACAACCAACTGAATGGGACTTCCACAGGGATGGCAGGGTGGAGCGTGAGGGGAAGTCCAGTCCCAAGCAAAGAAGGCTCTTGAGGCACAGAAAATTTTTGAAAGAACAGAACCAAGAGCTCTTGGAAATTGGGCAAACCTAATCGAGTCTCCAAGACAATGACCTCCCTCAACCCTGGGGTCCTGGCTTCATCTCCTTCCCAGGTCAGAGCTGGCCACCTCACTCAGCTCCCACAGCAGTTCTCAGCATGTACCTGCTGGAGTGAGGCTGGTAGGAGGTTTGAGCAGAGCAGCAGGTAGCAAAAGCTGCTACCTTCCATTGGGCAGGCTGCGCGTGTGAAGACTCATGCCAAGCACTTTACATACATTATCTCAATAATCCTCTCTCTGGGGTCTGGGAGATAGGCCCCGTTATTCTTCCTGTCCTGTGGATATAGATACAGGCTTAAGAAGGCCATAGCTTGCCCTATGATATGTCCTCAATGAGGGTATTAAGTCAGTTTTCCCAGCCCGGCTCTCAGCACCTATCCTTAGGGCTCTCAACTGTCTACTTACCTCTGAAGAATCACAAACAGATCAGCCTATGGGACAGAACTACAAAGTCTCATGCTGGGCTGGGGTCACATCAAGGAGGGAGGGCAATGAGCAGACAAAAGGGAACCACAGCATCAGGCAGCACAGGGGCCACTCAGGCAGCCTTGACTCTGAATGCCTGCTCCAGGTTGGAGGACGGGCAACTGATTCGTGCCAACGGCCTTGTTCTCTGCATTCAATAGGGTTTTGTTGACTGCATTTTGCAGGCCTACAGACTTAATTCCAATCTGGTTCATACACTCTTTCCAGAGCTTTTAGCAGGATGCTTCTGGGGCTGGGGGACATTAATAGCTCTTTTAATTACCCAAATAAAGGGGCTCCGTCTGACATCAGTAGGCTGTGGAAGCAGTTTTGTTTCTTCAAACAAGCCAGACTGCAAGGCCTAACTCCTGCTCTTGTCCTGTTATGGCCCTGGAGTTTTCAGGATAAAAGAACCCAAAGTTCATGTTCTTCACAGACTTCCAGCTGGTTTCAGGAATCCACAGGAAAGCTCCCCCACTCCCACTCAAAATGTCCCAGGTCTTCCTTCCCTCTACTGACCATTAGGTGAGGTCACAAGACCCCCTCCAACCTGAGGACTCCCAAGAACAGGAATAATAATTACTCTCCCTTCAAGGGACTTTTGATCACAAACAAGAGCCCATTATCCCCAAGCATCAGGTCTTGGGGGTGGGGGGCAACTTGGGTGTGAATTCAGTTCAGGTGGTGGGAAAAGGGGTGTGGTCTCAGTTCTGTGCAATCCCTGAGAGGCCTGTGTTAGAGACTGAAGGACCCTGAGCTAGGCACCCCTGGTCACCATGGGCCTTCCAAGAATGGGCATACTGCCAGGAACATCTAACGAGCCCCCAGGGATGAGACAGGAAACTGTCTCAGGCCAGACTCAAAGGGTGAGCCTGCCTGTTCAGTCACCAGGGCATTCCCCATTTGGGACTCCAGCCACAGGACCTGCCTGTACATGGGAGGAAAGGGAGTGGAACCAGGTATTAAGGGTACTGTGCAAGCCCAGGAAGGTAGAGCACTGTGGTGGCATGGTAGCTCAGTCAAAGGTAGATGTACACCCAGTGCTCAGGAGGCTGGGCATTGCTGAAACACTGCAGACCATGGTGAGGATTAGAATAGTGTCCCCACTCCCCTGGCAGAACCAGCCCCCAAAGCACAGTGGAATTATGTTCTTGGCCTGCAGGCCCTTTCAAACCCTCAGCCGGGTCTTTGTACAGTGCATAAGACACCCCCTGCCCACCTGTGGCAGCCCTAAAAGGTTATAAAATTGTGAAAACTGGCTAGGTCCAGGAACTGTGCAGTAACCAAGGACTGATGTTTTCCTGGGAAGCAGGGCCTCTTTCAAGTCTTCCCACCATTCCTCGAGACACAAGACTTGCTGTTTGGTGTGGTCCTAAGAGCTAGTCCTGCCTTCCCAGGTGCATCTGTCCCCACCTTGTAGGCCCTGCATTTCCCCCTAAAGCTGTGAGGGTCTAAGGGTCTAGGGCAATGGTTTTCAACATGTGGGTCTTGACCTCTTTGGGGGTTGAAAGACGCTTTCACAGGGGTCACCTAATGAAAGGTTCAGGCATTACGCTGGCCTGGCCCTGTTACCTGGCAGAATCCACTCAGGCAGTACCCTAGTCAGCCCAGGATTCCATGGGAACTAAGTCTGCATGCAGGTGTAAAGGACCCCTTTAAAAGACAGAGCCCTGCCCACTTAGGCTCTCTCCTCTCTCCTCTTCCTCACTTTTCTCTCTTGCCTTCCTCTCTCTCCCGCTTTCCTCCTCCCCCACCTGGAATAAACCATGGTTAATGTATCTCTTATTCTAACGTCTCATCTCATGTCTCTTTTTTTATATTTTTAAACTTTTACAAAATAAGAACACCTAAGACTATCAGAAAACAGATATTCAGATTATGATTCATAACAGTAGCAAAATTACAGTTATGAAGTAGCAATGAAAATAATTTTACAGTTGGGGATCACCACAACATGAAGAACTGTATTAAAGGTGGCAGCATTAGGAAGGTTGAGAACCACTGCTCTAGGGAGACACAGAATGACAGAAGTTTGGCTCTGATGTAACTTACTTAATGCAAGATAGGTTCCTTACTGGCTCAGAAGGGAAAAAAGGGTAAGAAGGGTATGGCAAGATGGTTCATCAGGAAAAGGCATTCACCACCAAGCCTGATGACCTGAGTTTAATGGCTGAAGAACTTTGCCAGTTGCCCTCTGACCTCACTGACCTCCACATGTGTTGCCTGTGCCCACACACCCACACACAAGCTAAACAAAATTTTTAAAGTAGCAGAGCAACAATCCCTGGTTCAGATTTCAGTCCTTACTAACCTCAAGAACAGAACTCCCAAGGGGCTGCAGTCAAACTAACACTCTGGAACCATCTCCACCCTGTGGAGAACCACCCAGTTCCATGCAGGAGTGGTCCAATTTTAACATAACAAGAATGACAGCAAACACCTGCTGAAAGGTTTCTGTACCAAGCCCTATCCTAAGGACTTGACAGACTGTAATGGGCTGAGCCTTGAGCAAGGTGCTAATATCCCTATTTACAGATGAGGAAATCAAGGCACAGAGAAGTTGTTCACTCAAGGTCACATGGGAACTAAATGGCTGAGGCAGAATTTGAACTTGGACCACCACAAATGTTTCTGATAAGAGATTCAGACCCTGTTAGGGGGCCTTAATTGAAGAGCTGGTTCTACCCTTTTGCAAATGGGATGCTTTCAGGGGTGGGGATGCTATAAGAAGAAGGAAGCCTGGTAGGGTTTTAGTCTGTAACCTCTAATTTATGCACATTCTGTTCTAACTCACACGTGACAGCTTGCAAGTTAGAGGGGTTTGGCCAACCAATGTCTGTTGGCACCTATGTGCCTGATGCCCACCTACTGCACCAAATTTCATAAATTTCCCAAGATGGCTTTGCAAAGTATCTACACCTAAGCAACCTTTGCAGAGGAGGAAACTGGAGTGCAGGGACAGGAGGTATTTGAAGGGCTCAAGACCCAAGCCCACCTCTTGGTACACACCTTTAATCCCAGCACCCAGGAGGCAGAGGCAGCCTGATCTATAGAGTCAGTTCCAGGACAGCCAGGACTACGAAGAGAAACACTGTCGAAGTTTCGAAAAGCAAAACAAAAAAGACCAAGTCCCTAGAATTCCAAAACTTGAGGGCCCCAGGGTTCAGGGACAATCAGACGAAGAGGAGTAAAGAGAGAGTGGAGGATTGGAACCACGGTCAGCCACAGAGGCAGATGTAAAGCAAAGCCACAGGAAAGGAATCCGGCCAAGATGGTACTCTCAGGTCCCTCTAGTTAGGATCCTGTAGGGTCTTCGGAATGTCAGTTTCCAAGTCCTGATGTGTGTGAGGGGTGAGGGGGGAGTCAGTCAGAGGTGGCAGGGAGGAAAGACCTGGCGCCCACCCGCAGCTCTTCAGTGGCTGCCTAAGAATACCAGAAGCCCAGAGTTTATAGTGCAGCTAGCAGCCGTCCCCTAAGCCCTTTGCCGTGGGTGGCTCCGAGGTTGGCTCTGGTCATCATCAAAGACAAGTAGATGAGTAGACTGGATGGCCAGCACCTGAGCCCTCCACCCCCAAACAGTACCAGTGTGCCCCCTCCTGGGAGACAAGCAGCTGCAACGGAGTGAATGGCCTTCTCTAGGTACACATTTAAAAAATGGAAGAAAGGGGTTCTCCGCTCCCTAGCTTCCCTTCCCTTTCGCTTTGACCACAGCATTTTGAAAGGAGAAGGGGACGTATTGGACCTCAACCTCTCCTTTTTCGTGGCCTCCCGCACTAACCACCTCGCGGCCCGCGCTCCCTTCCTTCCGCTGCCCCATAGTACTCACCCAGTGGCACACTGATCCGGGGGCCGAGCGCCCGCGTCGTCGTCGTCGGTCGCAGCAGCAGCAGCAGTGGCAGCAGCAGCGGCAGCAACGAGCGCAGCAGGGCGAAGCAGCTCGCCCGGCCCATCCCG